GAATGATACAGAATCTAGGTCATGTGCCAAAATACCAATACTATGTACAATTCAAATTCTAGGCTCCAAAAATGTATTGCTGGACGAAATTGGATATAAGACCACAGGTAGGATTTATGATTGTTTTAAAGGCAAACTTTTTGTTGCAACCAAACTTATGAGTACATGATGTTATGATGATGGGCAAAGTAATGTTCAACTGCTCTGAATGGGCTGAAGGAAAATAGCCTCTCTGAACATCTACATTAAGTACACTATTTTAGAATGTAAAGTCTCTTGAGGTGATTTCACATTTCCTAAATTGATGAACATTTGAACTATATAAACTGGGTTTTTTTTGGGAGGGGGGCATCTAAGACAGCTCCTGGCCTTGAGGTCAATGATCCTCCTGCCTCAGCTTCCCAAGTGCTAGCATTACAAATTATGTATTACTAGAAAGGAACTGAAGAGTAACAAGCAGTGAAAAAAAAATAAGATTGGAATTTTTATGGTTTGGGCATTGGAATATAATCTTGAAATGTAGGAAACCTTTCATATAACAACATATAAACTTTCCTCAAACAGTTGTCACTGTCCATAATTCAAGTGGAGATAGAAGAATTGTGGCAGGTAATTATATTTTTATCTTACCTATAAATGACTGGGATATAATAATGGTCATTACCAAGGCTTATAGAATGAAGTTTCTCATTTGCTGTGGACATGACCATAAAAAAAAATTTCCCACTAGGTTTTCTGTCTGCTACCTTGTTAGCAATCAACCTGTTGGGAACATTACATGGCCTAAGTGAATACTGTGCAGTATTATTTATGATAGCCATGTTTAAAATTATTGCTTACCACAAAGCACGCTTAAGATCTTTCCAGGCTTGGGCTGGAGAGATAGCTCAGTGGTCTAACATACCTGCTTAGGCAAAGCGCAGGGACCACAGTTCAATCCCCAGCACCACATGCCACTGCAGTCCTGCCCTGAGTGGGCTGAGCTGGCCACAAAAAAAAAAACTTTCCAGGCTTGGATTCTCCAGTTTTTTTTTTTGGGGGGGGGCAGTAATGGGAGGTGCTTATGCAGCTGAACTATAATCAATGAAGTAGAAGACCTAGACTGCCTCACTGACGACTGTGTATTTTATAGGGCAGATGGGATGGCTGAAGTAAGCTTCAGTTCTTTTGTAAAGGTAAGTACAGGTGAAGAAAAGACACTATAGGTCATTTCAAAGAGGGCCTGTGGGAATGTTAAACCAAGAGCTCTTAACGCGATGACCACAGAGTGAAATTCTCCACAGTATGTCATAGTCACTCAGTAGTGCTATGTTTTTCTGAGGAGATGACAATATTGAGCTGCTCATAAGCTGTGATTGGGAAAAAATAGATGCTTCAAAGTAGTAAACATTGTCTTTTCTCCTTTTTAGGCCTCCTCTGAAGACAGCCTCATTAAAATGGCCCCTAATTAAATCAATATGAAATTTCTTTAAAATAAAATTCACTTAATTTTTGTTCAGTGTCATTTATTTTAAAATTTTATACACATGTAGGAAGTCAGCACATGTTTTTGGCTCGAAGTTTCTCTAGTGTTCTCTGTAGAGGGAATAAGAGTTTATCAGTTTCAATTACATACATCAAAGATTGCAGGGTTGGGCTAGGGGAGGCCTCCCTCACCTTATGGAATTCTTTTGCCCTTGCTCTGTTGTGAGCATAGGTTTCTTGTTTTGCTTTTTCTTCCTTTTGTTTTTTTATTTCAGATAACTGATGATACAACCTGTAAAATATTCATGTAATTAGGTGTGGGTATTGCAGAAAAGTAGAACCACCAGAACACAGCAAATAGATACCTTGTTGCTCTTCTATGCATGACGGACTGTGCCATCCTCCTTTCTTCCGAAAGACACACTCTAACTTTATTTACACCCTTGAGGCTGCTTGTAGAGGTAACTGAAAAGAGAGCAAATGACCTTCAAAAAATTTAAATTTTCAGCTGTGGAGATGGTTTACTTACCCTAAGAGTAAGTAGTACTTAAATGCACTACTCAAGCTTCTGTACTTGGCTTATTTCAGTACGTTCACGTTACTACAAGTGTCTAGGATTTTCATTTTTTTTTACTGACGAACCTGCACTGCTGGGAATGTTGCTGCCATATTACAGTGATACAAGTGTATCAGTATTTACTACATAGCATGAGATTCACTGTAGTTAAAACTCAAGAGGCAGCTCTATCAATAGATGACTGGATAAAAGTTATGCATATGATGTCTCTAAGTGTTATTTTTCTGAAAGGAGTTGGGGACATGGAGCTCAAAGCTGCAATTCATAAAAGTGGTGGGTTTTGACTGCCACCAAAGTAGTCTCGGTTTTAAAACATTGAGGAAATTGTTACTGTTAATACAACATACCTGTAGAAGATGGCTTTTCCTGAACTGTCCCGAATTGGTAATGTTTAGGAGCTCGGCTTTTTCGTATTTCTTTCTGCCTCTGGTAGGATCTCTCGATAAATAATTTTTTTTTCTTAACAAATGCTTCTTGTAAGCTCTCTGCTATGGCTGAAAATTTGGGAAATTGTTACATGTCTTATTTAAGCATGCCAACTCTGAGCATATGCAGTGTTTTATATACCTGTAGATCCTGTTGATTTCTTCATAGAAAGTTTTGATACAAGTGGATAAACTGAGGTTTTTGTTTCTGATGAAACAGGCAGATATTCACTCACCTAAGTGCAAAAAAAGTCAAAAGAAAATTAGTGTACCGCTTAGATCAAGTAGTTTAAAGTCTGATGTTTGGGAAAACCAACTTTCTAAAAGCTTTTATATGGACTGCCTTTTGGTTTCCTGTGAGCCCTTACAGCTAATGAGTGCTTATTCGTTTGTAGCTCAAGCACTGCAAACAAATCTGAGCACAAAAGCATTCAGGGGACTGGAGAGATGGCTCTGGAATAAGTGCTTTCCTGGCAAGAGCAAGGGCCTGAGTTCAATCCCAAGTTCTGCCAAAAAAAGCGTTCTGCAAAAACCTCTTTGCAAACTGCATTGGGTGACAAACACAGCTATCTTCCCCAAAATTATAAAATAGAGTCATAAATCAAGGTACTACCATGTCACTGGTGGATGAGTCCCTTGGTAGAAGCATGAATTTATGCCTACATTCAAAGACTTACACCAATTGGCATACTTGTATTTTATCTCCGCATTTCTGTTCACAAGTATATATAACCTCTTACTGTCTGCCCTTTAAAAAATTTTAGTTGTGGTTTTGTAGTCTTCCTTGACACCTGAACACCGTAATAACAGACAAGCCTGTTCCACACTAAAAGGCACGAACCTGGAGGGAGTACATATCTGTAACTAGCAACTGAAACAGGCAGGAGGATTGCCATTAAGACCCTATCTCAAAACTGAAGGGCTGGGGAGATGGCTCAGTGGAATAAGCCCTTCCCTAGCAAGTGCAAGGGTCTGAGTTCAATCCCTGGTTCCGCAAAAAAACCCAAACCAACAGAAACTGAAGACCTGGCTCTGTAAAGACTGACTCCCAAGTATTTAAGAAAAAACAAGACCCCCCCCCCCAAAAAAAAAATCCCCACCAAAAAACAAAAAAAACAGCTGGGGGAGAGGGTCAAAAAGGTATTAATGTACACTTCCAACTAACTGAAAATTAAGAGCATAATTCCCTCCAATAATGACCTAAGAGTTGAAATTAACAGGTAGGTGATGAGTAGTCAGGGAATTTTTTTTTTGACAAGTTTGAATAGTTCTCTATTTTCGCTTCAGGCCTGGTCTTACCTATTGGGACAAAGTATTTTTGTCCTGGGATAGGGGAGGCATGAATTTCACTTAAGTCTTAATGGTTTATCTTCACTTTAGAACTACACAGTACATGGTGCAAACTGGTTCATTGAGATTTTTTTTTAGATTTTAAAAGCTTTCTATTCACTGTCGATCATAGAGGAAAATTCTGCAGATAATTCTGAGGAGAGGGAAAATGCCATATGAAAAAATGAGGATTAGTACCCTTCTCTCTTCCCACCAAACTCTAGTTGCAGGTTCCTGTATGAGCTACATTCACAATAATGAATGCTATAAAATTTACCTGAAAACTGCTTTTTCTTTCATTCTCTGCCTTTTCTTCAAGGGTTAAGTTTGCAAAGTCTGTTTCAGCAATACTGATATCACTGGTGCTTATCAAACTAAGCTCAGGTTCTTCCATTATACCATAGCCAGATTCTGTCTCCTGTGCAATACAATTGAAAGGTTTTTTTTAAAAGCTGTTAAAAGATTCAAAATGTAAAAATAAAAAATATAAATGCATTTTTGTACACTATGTGTATTTGGTACAAATTAAATGTTAAAAATAATGAAGTCGTAGAAGATCAACAGACTGAATTCCCCTTCAGTCACCCCTCATCACTAGGAGAAACAAGTCTTTGCCAATGTGGAAAAACATGGTAACTTGTCTTATAATACTGCAGAATCACAAATCAGAATGCTCATGTGGCTTGGCAGGCTGGCTGGGCTGAACACACATGGCATGTCCTAGCTAAAGACAGCAGTGCCTACTGGGTCTCGGGCAGAAACAGACTACTCTTGACACATTTAAAAATTTTCAGAACAAATACTTTAAGCAAGTATTCAGTTTCACACGAACAGTAATTTAGAAACATGTGACACAAGCAGCCAAAAAACATCCATCTAATGGTCTAAATGAAGTCCTTATTTAAAATCTCCATTGTCTTAACTGAAACGATGAGCTCTGCATGCAGAAAAACTGAAAACTGTTCAGGTGAACTAAGCTGGTTATAAACTTGCTTACACAATAATAATAAGAGTAATGGTCATTCCAATAATGGATTCAGTGCAATGAGATTCAACGCTGACCATTCTTAGGAAAGTACAAAGGATTACCTGGATACGCAAAGATTTTTTTACACAAAGATCTTACAGAAGAGTTTTCAAAATCTGGAATTTTCTCTTTATATTTTAGGAATATTCAGCAATTTTGTTGTTTCTCTTACACTTTGTTTATCTAAAGTTTCTCCTAAAGAGGAACTTAAAATGCTGCTTATACAATACAGATCTTACTTACCCAGAATGGAATAGAGTTCTGTAATGAACACGATCTGGAACTAAGAAAGGGCTCAGTCAGCGTTGGCTGAGATAGGTTTTTTATGATTTCTGGAGTCTGAATTGAATTTTCAAAGTATTTTTCACTTTGGGTACTTAATGACTGTGGATTCTGATCTGAAGTTCCCACCTCTACTGTTCGGACACATAATTCAGAGTTAGTTTTTTCTACATGTGAATTTATAGCTAAAACCTGATTGGTTTCATTTTTATCATCTTCGGCGAGTCCTTGATTTTGTAAGATTGTAACAGTTTCTCTTTCTGATAGGTTTTCAAAGCTCAGCCTTTCTTCTTTGCTTTCCTCCTGTAGTTGGCCTTTTATCGAGCACTCACTAGAGGCAGAACCACATGGAGAGCTATGCTGTACATGTAACTGTTCATATGCATTAATCTCATCAGATGAACCACAGGCTGAACTTAAGTTTCCTACAGAAAGCTGGAAATGGACACTTTTCTTATTTTGTAGTAGGTCACTCTGTTGTTCTGATGGATGGTTATTGTTCCTCATGTCTTGAAAACAATCTCTTGCTTCAATGCTAAAAATACTTGGTAGATCAGCATGCTGACTCCCCTCCTGTGATGAAAGTTCTGGCAGAAGTTGTTGAAAACACTGTTCAGATCCTACATTAAGAAATTTTTAAAAATCCATCTTATAAAACTTGATTGTTAGTAGTCCCTCCCAGAGTAACTGCACACAAAGTCAGGTTACAATTTTAGAAGTGACAACTGATGTATACAAACACGAAGTTAATGATTTTCAAATAACTACAACTCATGTATTTTCCCCTTCTTTTGGTATTGTATATTAAAAGACAAGGACATTAGACACTATGAGGATTTCTCCCTTATGAAAGGACTGAAAATTGATCTTTAAATTTTTTATTTATTTTTTTTTTTAGGGTGTCTAGCTATACAGCTCAAACTCACAGTGATCTTCCTGTCTCAGCCTCCACTGCTAAGATTACAGACATTCAACACCAGGCCTGATTTGGGTGGCTGGCAAGGTGCGCCTGGGGTTCCAGGGCCAGCATGCATGTGGTACCGGGGACCAAACCTGGGTCCTTGCACTTACCAGGTATGCGCTTAAGACCACCGAACTATCTCACCAGCCATTCCTAACATTTTAAAAGTATACAATACATACTGTTAACTTAGGGACAGTGTTGTACCTATACAACATTAGGTATACCTCTAAGGTGTATTTTTGTTGCATAACTGAGACCGTATGCTGATTATCAACTCCCAACTTTCTAATCTGATTCTGTAAGACTATTTCCACTTTTGTATTATTTTAGATAGTATGAATACTTTAACATGGGATGTGTTTCAATAACATGTTTTAAGTTTTTAAGGCTGGGGATATGGCTCAATAATGGAACATTCGTAAGACCCTAGGTTTAACACCCAGCATCAATGAGAGGAAAAGGATGCTTTAAACAGTTTTTATAATGCTGGCTTTTAATAATAAGCATTGAAAATGGAGGAATAGGGTAAATACATAAACTAATGCTTTGAGAAAAAGTTATTCATGAACTTTGTACGCATGATAAATAGAAAAATATCAGTTTATAAATTATATCTTTCCAGAATGCTAAGTGATACAAATAATTTCTCTTAAGTAATTTGATAGTTGGGCTGGGGAGATGGCTCAGTAAAATAAGCGCTTCCCTGGCAAGCACAAGCACAAGGGCCTGAGTTCAATCCCTGGTTCCGCCAAAAAAAAAAAAAAAAAGAAAGAAAAAGTACTTTGATAGTAAAAGGTAGTATAAGGAACCTCAATTTTCCTTTTCTAATATGCTTTATTGAACACTGATTTTAATAACAGAAATACTTAAAGTATGCACCCATGAATCCAAATATACATTATAACATATAAAAAAACTTTGTACATAAAGTTCTAGTAGGATAGAATTATAAGCATAGGGAAATTGACAGAAAAGAGGCAACTCTTGATTTCTGATCTTGGCCAGCATGGGTTACACAGTGAGTTCAAGGCAAGCCTGAACTATGCAGAGGGACCCTATCTTAAAAACCAAACCAAATCAAACCAAACCAAATAGGAAGAAAAAAAAAAAGGGAAAATATATTTTCTGTTATTTAAAAAAATACAGAGTACCTATAACATTGAAGACACACATGGAGGCAACCAACAGATGCTATGCACAGTATCCAGCAAAATATTAAAAAAAGAAAAAAATTCTGTTATACTTAACTTCTCCTTAGCTAAACCTACCTTCAACAGTTTCTATAGCAAAACTCGGAGCATAAGCCAGGTTAGGGTCTGGCTGCTGGTTCGGGCTTGCAGTAAAAGCATGCAGGCTGGTCCTCCTCAGTGCTGTACAAGAAGCTATATTTTTGGATGACACACCAGCACACGATGCTTCAGATGAAGAATCTGGGCTCTGACAGAATACAGAATAGTTGGAATACTGATTATGTATTATTAGCTGAATCACTCATCACTGTGCTCCTTTGATAGTATTCTTCCTTGATATACATTTTTTCATGGTAATAACTTGCAAGCCTAGTTTTTCCCCATCAGTCAGCATACCCTCCAGCTAAAGATAAAAGCTGCACGGGACAAACCTAATATAGCTGCTTTTCATCTAGGTTAACCTTGGTATCAGTTGAGTAGCTAAAAAAATGGCCAGGGAGATGGCTCAGTGGAATAAGAGCTTCCCTGGCAAGCACAAGGGCCTGAGTTCAATCCCTGGTTTGCAAAAAAAAAAAAAAAAAATCATAGTATTTGAGTCCTCTCAGAAATTTGTAAAAAAAAAAAAAATTTTTAAAAAGGAAAAAAAAATTTTTTTGTTTAACTTATCTAGGTAGAACCTGAGCACTGGAATTTTAAAAAAGTTTTCCATATTGGGGCCAGGGAGATGGCTCAGTGGAATAAGCGCTTGCCTGGCAAGCTGAAGGACCTGAGTTCCATCCCCAGTTCTGCAAAAAACAAAACAAAACAAAACAAAAAAAAAGTTTTCCATATAATTCTAATAGACTACTAAGGTTACATCTTTTTTTTTTGGTACCTGGGATTTTTAGAATACTTTTTTTTTTTTTTTTTTAAAGACTACTAAGGTTAAGAACCATTGTTCCACCAAAACAAAAACAAAACAAAAAAAAAATCAAACTGCTTTTTGATATTCACAATGGAGTAGTTTAATATACCTGGTAAAAGTCTCTGTTGTCTTGAGAAATCCCAGAGGATGATGATGATAAATCACAATCTGGATGTGGTTCTAAGGGTTTGAAGAGCTGACGATGCAAATTTGGAAAAATATGTTCTAGTTCTGGAAAGTCAAAGTCAACTGTTGGAATTATGAGGGAAAAAAAGGATTTTTAAGATTTAAAGTAAAGCCTAAAAAACAGTAGAAAGAACATACTCATTAATAACTTTTTGGTAATGCTCATGTAACAAAATGCTACCTTTTTCATAATTAGCAAATGCTTTCAAATTAAATCCAGTCACGATTATTTCCAAGATAAAAAAACCAAAGCCCACCCAACCAAACTCCAGATCCTCTCAGAGACCAAAGCCTTCTCAGGTGGATGAGGGCTAACAGGCCCTGAAGACCACTGCTTCACTGTGAGCAGGTGGATGGTGAACCTGTGGCAGCACACCAGAGGGCTGTTTGTTAAGAGTGAAAGCTCTAGAAGGTTTACCATCACTGCTGTCAGCTCTGCTGAGCTCACTTCAGGAACAATGACTAGAAGAAGGAAAAAAGGAGAAAGGTTCACTGTACTCTTGTTACTGCAGCCCAGACACTGTGCTTTAGATGCGTATCTCACTTCATCTCCAACAACTTTCTTTTTATGAAAGATGAAGTGAACTTGCCCATGGCTTCACAGCTAGGAAATAAGTCTCAACTCTGATTTGAACCAAGACCTTTCTGATTTCTGAACTTTACTGAAACTCAGCTGTAAGAGCTAACTTTAAGGTAAAGGAAGATTTGGTTACTAATGTCCTCTCCATGTTGTTCCACTTGTAACGCTCATGTAACAAACTGGGTCCACATGCCCTCTTCTACTAAGCATCAATGTTTCCTGTGGTCTAAGTATGCTGCAGCAGGCCTTAAGAACATGGAGTTTAAACAACATTTACTAAAAAAGTGCAAAGTTGGGCTGGCGAGATGGCTCAGTGGTCTACAGCACCTACTTGGAACAAGCTTGGCAAAGCACAAGGACCACAGTTCAATCCCCCAGCACCACATGCCAGCCAGCCCCGCCCCCTGGTGGGCTAAGCTGGCCACACACACACACACACACAAATAAAAAATTAAAAAAAAAAAGTGCAAAGTTAAAAGAACTCATTGATAAACGTATGTATGCATATATGTATACACACACAGTCTGCCAAAAAATGTATACATACCTCAGCAGTGCCCTGCACTAAATGTCTGAGAGGAAATGTTCATCACTTTAAGTACCTCTTGTAATCGTACAGGCCAGAGGTAACTTGTATTAGTCTCATATCTGAATATACTTACTATATTTATGTTTTTCTCTTCCAATGTATACATTTTTTGTCATATGCTATATATATATGAGTTTTTCTTTCCTTTAAAATAATTTTACCCTGAAAGTCTGTTTTCTCAGGTATCCAAGTTGCTTTATTTGTGTGCTTGTCCATGACCTGCTGACCATGTGTGTGGCCAGGTATAAATTCTTCTACTGCAGGCAATGGAGATTTATGAACATCTGAAGAGCTCTGGTGCTGATAAATAACTTGTGTTGAAGGCACCGTGGAACCTAAAGTATCTGTTTCCTCTTCTCTACTGGTGATGGATTCTTGTTCTGGATGGCTTGTGTACTCTGAAAATGGCTCTGAAATGGAGTTTAATGAAAAATTTTAATTGACATTAACACTGCATTCCTTTTGGCCGCTTATTTTTTTGAGCCATGGTCTTGCTGTGTAGTTCAGGCTGGCCTTGCACTCACTAAACAGCCCCAGCCTCCCTAGTGCTGGGATTATAGGCTTGTACCACCAGGTCTGGCTGGGTGCTTCTTTAGAAACACAATCAGGCAGACGTGACAATATATATTTCTAACAATCAATGCAACCAAGAGCTTTCCTATAGAATTCCACTGAAAGGGAAAAAGGGTCATTAGCAGTATTTCTCATATTGTTAGGGATCTACAGAGTGCTCTGTGACTCCCAGTCACTTTTAGAATACTAAATAGCCCAATATTCTTTTCTTAATGTATTTAGTACAGGGTCTATACGGTCTCCCTACATAGAACTCATAGTGATCCACCCGTTTTCAGCCTCCCAAGTGCTGGGATTAAAGCTGCACACCACCACGTCCAGTCTCAATCACTGTCTCAGCACGCCCAGGGATGCTGGTATGGCAGGCCTGGGGATCAAACCCCAGGCTCCTGCATTTGTCTAAGCAGGTGCTTTAATCCGTTGAGCTATTTGGCTAGCCCTAAACTGCCCAGTATTCTATTAGACATGATACTTTATTTTCCAGATTAAAAAAAAAAAAACTCCCTTTCCCCATGTGTTGTGAAGAAATAATGCTTCCTCCCACCACCATATGGTAACTCAGTTGGTGATGGATTGTCCATCTCTTTACATTTTGATATTATTACCTGGATCTGTAAGGCTCAAATCTGTATTTTCATAACTTAAAAAACTGCCCGTAGAAACAGTTATTGGAGATAATGGCTCATGAGAAATATCTTGTGTTTCAGCCTAGAAATTAAAGGGAAATGTTAGATTATGATGTATCAAACAGTATGGTGTCCAGACAACTCCAAGTCAGCAGCCTTAGCACTTATCAATTCTGAGCTCAGGTCAAGTGTAGAAGCCTTCATAGTTACAAAGGTCAGTAATAAAACCTTTTCATCATTGCTCAGAAGTGATTAGCCTCACACACAATCACACACACACACACACTCACACACACACACACACACAATTTCCACTCTCATTCACCTATCTGAATGTTCTGTTACTCAGCTTTCTGAACACGCATGTGTGAATGTAGACAGACAGACAGACACACAAACACACACTCATACACAAAGGACATAGCCCTTTCTGTTTTAAATTATTTTAAAAATTTGCTTCCCAGAACTATAGAGATCATGCATCAGGGAGACTGGAAGGTCTTCTGATGCTCAGATTTGGCTATTTTCATCATTGATCCACTTCACTAAGAGCAGATCTCAGAGAACGTAGTTTTTCAGTACACTAAAGAAACTATGGGGCTGGTGAGATGGCTCAGCGGTCTAAAGCACCTACTTAGAACAAGCTTGGCAAAGTACAAGGGACCACGGTTCAATCCCCCAGCACCACATGCCAGCCAGCCCTGCCCCCTGGTGGGCTGAGCTGGCCACACACACACAAATAAATAAATAAATATTTAAAAAAAAAATAATAAAGAAACTATGTTACCACATAGTTCTAAAAAAAACGATGGCGGTCCCTAGTTCCGGGGGCGGGGAATGATGGCGGGCATCACTTTGAAGAAACTGTACTTTGCACACCTGTAATCCCAGCACTTGGGAGGCTACGGCTGAATCAGCCCAAGTTAGGGGCCAGCCTAGGGCAGTGAACTCAAAGCTAGCCCTGTCTTAAAAGAAAAACTAAAGATTATTGAGTGGGAAGATATCACCAACCTTATCATCTGGCCTCACAGCCCGACGCGGACACATGTGCTCTGCTTCCCCTGCAGACGCAGCATAACTTAGCACAGCGTGATTCTCAACATCACATTCCTTGACCTTGACTAAACAGTTAATTTGGAGTTCAAAAAGGAAAATATTTTGGATTAGAACAAATTAAATTACCATCAGAGGCACCAAACCCTGCTTGTTTTGGTTCATTAATTGCTTTATCTTAGACCAAAGGGGAAAAAATCAGTTCCTTTTTTATTTAAAACATTGGGCAACACCCACTACTTTCTTTTTTTTTTTTTAAACTGTGGCTGTCACTGTTAACACATGCATAAGACCCTTTAAAATATTTGAACATTGTGGGAAATGTTTTGTCCTTTTATGTGGAGAAGCAAGAATATTCAATCAGCAACACAGTGTGGTCTGTGAGAATAAAATACATATAAAAAGACAATAAAAGACACCAAAGTACAGACAGTGATTGCTAGGACCAAATGATTTTTTTGTTTTTCAAATATTGCTCTCTGTTACCTAGAGGGGTCTTCTTTTTTTTTTTTTTTTTTTTAAGGCTGTATTTACTTATTTATATATTTATTGCGGTACCAGGGATCGAACTCAGGACCCTGCTACTGAGCTATCTCCCCGTGCCCCTAGAGTGGTCTTAAAACTCCTGG